TGAGTTACCTGTGATTTCCATCTTATTAGTTTGCTGTGCTGAACAGTTAGGACAAACAGTCGGTCCTAAAGTAATATATTGCTCAAACGAATCATTATAATTATGAACAAGGAGACATTTATGTGGAACTATCTGGAAAATCGTGCTTGTGGTTTTTTTTTTGGTTAACATGCTCCAGAACATATTTTTGTTTCTGTAAATCATGGTACAGAGTTGAGCATCTTCCTACACAGCGCTGTTGTTGTGATGCTGCAATTGACCACGGAGCACTGTGAAATTTTGTTCCTCTCTATGTGGAATAGCTGGGTCAAAATTGTTTGACGCAATTTATACGTATCATGGGAAACTTTTTTCAGCGTAGTTTCTTAAACTAATTTAAAAAATAAACTGCTCTCTGCATATTTTACCACAATTCTTTCATAGAACGTGTTCGAGTCAAACGATGCGGCGATAAATAATTGAAAAAGCGCATCAAAGGCACACGTGTTGACAACATCAATGTTTTCCCTGTTTAACTTAACCGCACGTGAGCTTTTATCATTTCCATTTTTAATGATAGGGAGTTTCGCAAGCACTGCCTTTTCTTGCAATTTTCGCAATGGAAATGTTTCTTGCAAGTAAAAGTTACGTCTCCTTTTTTCGCTAGGTTTGTTTGGCTTTGATTTTTTTCTTTTACAATTTTACCTCCCCAATTTTCCTGAAGCCTCGATTGTAGTATGTGGTCTACATTTTTGCTTTGTGAGCATTTTTTTGCAGATTCGCGCTTGGCCGTATCCTTGGTTATCGCCATAGGGTTCAGAACATTCATTGAGTGCATGAACCGCCGTTTTACAAACTTGTAATAAAGGCAATAGAATTTTTTGAAATTAAACTTCTTTGCGCTCGGTCGGGTGTAAACGCAAACATCCATGTAACGAAAAATAGCGCAGTGATAGTGCATAGTTCCAGCATATAAAGGGTGTTTTTGTTAGACTTGTGGTTTTCAATGAGGCAATACTTTTTCGGAGTTGGTCTTTTTGACAGCTGTTACTTGATTTATACTCAGTTTGGTTTGCTATTACATAATGAACAGAGTTACCTCGGAACAACGTTTGCAAATCGTGCAAATTTATTACCAAAATAATGGTTCGGTTCGCGTGACGCATCGCGCGCTGCGTCCAATATTCGGTCGATATAATCGCCCAGCAGAGCCGGTAATTCGTGCAACCATGGGTCGGTTTCGCACCATGTTTACTCTAGTGGATAATGCGCATCCTCAGAGATGCCGTACAGGGCGCACCGAAGACCCATTGCTGCTGTGGAGCAGAGTATCGAAGAAGACCCGAATCCATCCGCCATCGCGCGCAACAATTGGCGCTATGCCCATCCACTTTATGGAAGATCTTGCGGAAGGATCTTGGTTTGCGGGGTTACAAAATCCAACTCGTGCAAGAATTGAAGCCGAACGGTCATCAAGCGCGTCGCTTTCCGATTCGATTTTGTTCAGCGATGAAGCTCACTTTTGGTTGAATGGGTACGTTGGTTGAATGGGTTTACGTAAACCTAGCTGAACAACACATTTTTGCGAATTTCTCGGAAACCAATGGAGCTACTAAATTAATGTTGTAGGCCCTAATTAACACCTAAAAGACGCCTAATTCCTAGATAATTTTTATTGATTTTTGGCGACTTGGGTCAGCTAGGTTTACGGACGTCCCGGATGACCAACTTCGTCGTGACATAACTTCACAATTATCCAGCGCATGCCACGTGGAAAAGCCAAAAGTAACTTTTCGCCGCATTTCTTATAAAGTCAGTGATGCTTGATAACATATCCCTTCTCGTACATCTTTAGTTGATCTGATTTGGTTTGCTAAGTAAGGATATTCACGATGTCATTAAAATGTGGATCTTGTTTTTGCATTGTAAAGATCCAATCTGCCAAAGCAATGGAAACTGGCATCACACATGACGTTCCATCTTCTGGATTCCTTGAAGCTTCGACCGGTGCTCGACTCATAGCATCAACATGGCTCAT